TGGCAACAGCGCCAGCGAGCCGCTCCACGCCTACTTTTAGTTCCGCAAATATCCAACAATAAACTCATTTCAGCCAAAGAGCAGAAAAAAACAGGAGGTCTCACTGCGCAATAGAATAAAAGCCTATTCAAAAGATACTACACTAACCTGGAGTTTCAGAAAGATAACACTTACAACGGGTACTCCTGTGTCGAAAAAGTTGAAAGCCTTGTTCAAACTTAAAATATCTAACACATGTTCTCCTTGACATTCCTCAAGGAGCAGTAGATAGATTAGACAGTGTATTTAATAAGACCGGATGCCTGTTTATCGTTCCTAGACACTCCCTTTATACACTCCCAACTGCAGTCACGGTAACTTGTACAACAACATTATAAAAAGACACATAATGTAAATCACCCTTAGTCTACAAATGTCAAATCCTGCATCACATCAAAAATGAGTCAAAGAACTACTTTTTTTTTTTTTTTTACATGTGATCACCACTGCTGCTAAACTCTCTCTCTCTCTCTCTCCTCTCTCTCTCTCTCTCTCTCTCTCTCTCTCTCTGTCGAAACCCTCAGGACTCCTGTCCACACACTAATGGGACAGTTAGTTCTAACGTTTAAACCCACAAATACAAGTGTTATGATGAAAACCAATTGTTGTTGTGATTACTTTTCCAATGACAATCTGTAAAAATGTTTTCGCATCGCTAAAATCATAATATTGATAAGCAAGAACAAATGCAAAGAAATTTCCAGGAGATAAGCTTGGTAGTTTACTTAATTACAAAGGCAGGAACACTGCAAACAAACTATGAAAGTGTCGAGTGAATCCTCTTCTCAATTAAAAGATCTTTAGCTCCACAGCAGCCAATCACGTATTTGCCTCGCAAGTCATGATTTAAGTCATTTCCTGTTGTGACTGCAGTCTATAACTTACCATTGAAATGCTACCTAAACAAACGCAGTAACCACCATTATTATTAAAGTATCGTAACACATGTATGAATTGCAGTAACAGCCCTGTGTCACACTAAAGAAGTATCTCTGCAACATTGTATAACGAGCTAACCAAGTCGCTCTGTAGCAGCCAGTGTAATGAGCTGCGTAGCTAACATTAGCACGGTCCGTTCGCTCCTGACTCATTTTCCACAATAAACAGACAGCGAGAATAAAAAAAAAATGTGCAGATGCTATGACAGGCGTCAGCTGATTCACATCCCATTTAAACCCCATTTGAGCCAGACCTATTTAGAAGTGTCCTGTGACAGACAGGTCTGGTAGCTGCTCCAGCTAATAGGATTAGTTTATCCCTACTTTGTCATAACATTAACTTCTGATGTTGTCGCCTCCAGCTTTCTACAAAACAGTAATATAGAGTTTTCAGCAGTCCTACCTGAGTTGATTCTTCTGTTCTGCAAAAGGAAAAGTCCGCAAGTCATGTCTATTCGAGCTGCTTTGTACCGGCGCAGTCACATCTGCGACATACTTTCGTTTCATTTCCGCATGTCTTCTAAAAGTTTCGTTTTGTCAGAAATGGGAGTCGACTAATAAAATGTACTTTCTAAATGAATCATATTATTATTTTTCCAAACTGGTGAGGATGACAGAGCAGGATTCTATGCATAGCGTGGAAAATAATTCAGTGAGACTGCTTACTGTAACCAGGTGGTTCTATCAACCTGTTATAATGACGCTCTAAAATACAGATTTCTCAATTTCATTCCTGATAATCAAGTACAAGTGCTTATAACACAATAACTACAGATTAATTATCTGTTATGGCACAATCCAGGAGCGAATATTTGCCTTCTTATAATAAATTATCATTTGAAATGGACCATAATTATGGTCCTTAAGAGTGTTTTAGTTACTCGTTCCTGGATTGTATGAATTTGTTTAAATGCTTTTTTTTCATTATGAAATATCTTTATTTTCTCTTTACAGAAAGCATTAAGATGTACAGAACTGTGCAAAGGTTTCAGGCATTAAATTAAAGTGGGGCTACTTTCAAAAATAATGTCAGGAATTGTTTTTATTTAACAGTTAACTTCATACAAAGTGTAGTACATGGAGAAAAAAAAAAGTAAATCGATATCTGGTGTGACAACCCTTTGCCTTTAAAACAGCACCTGTTCTCCTCTGTACACTGGCACTTTTTTTCATGGTAATCCCAGACTGACTCCATGTTGTTGACATCAGGGACTTGTGGTGGTCATACCATCTGTAGCAGGACTGAAACTGAAATTAAAATCTCTGTGTTAGTTAAGGAGGATTGTGGGGCAAGTAAGTAAAAGGTCATCTCAAAGTATGCAGAAATTCACTTGAACATTCATTGTTAAGTACAGTCACTGGTTAGACAGATAGTTTGATCTTAAAGCATTTAGCAAAGGCTCACAGAGAAAAGTGTCTGCTTATGGATGTATTTTACTTTCATAGAGCAAAAACCAGCTGCTCAGTAGTTATTCAGTTGTGGTCAATAGCAATAGTTAACTGTGGTTATAAGCTACTCATTCCCCCATGATGTCTTTAAGTGTATAACTATGAAGCAAGACATCACTGGATAAACTTAAACATAGAGGGTGGTGTGCTTTCTTACTACAGCAAAATGTCAGATATTTTATATACTTAATAGGCATGGTGTATGTTGTAAGGTTGTATTTGTTTTGCATGTTGGCAACTTTGGTTTAAGGATGTTAAGAATGTGAACCTTAGGTAAGCTGCTGACCTTTGGGGGAGTCCATCACACATCTGGGTTTTATGGTTATATTTATCTACATCCCTGCAGAGATTTAGTGATGCACTCCCCTCCAGGAGGATGTGAGCAATAATACCCAGATCAATTTAGGATATAAGCAGCTCAAGTTCTGTCATTCAGTGAGAGACTTGGTGTACCCAGCACCAGATCTGTCCTTTGTGCACAAATAAAACAGCCAAACTGAAGTGTTGACTTGTTGGCCTGATTTGTACACTTTTTCATCTTTCGGTCACGAGAAATCATCTTTTCAATGTCCCCTCCAACATGGAAAAGTCAGGTTTGTTTCATTGGCATTTTAAAGTGACATGAATTTGGGCTGAGTGAAGGGTGAAGACAGTAAACACAGAGTACTTGTCTTCAGGTAAACTGATCCTTAGCCATGATTGCAGCTCTTGCATTGTTCTCTCTAGGTACAGCAAAAATCTACACTGTGTGCTGCTGTATTGGTCACTCAAATTAGACCCACACAATCCTGTTCCTGTAAAACTCTCAGTAAAAGGGTAACACGCTCAATATGGATTTGTTTATTGTTACACTGAGCAACCTGGGATGACCTTCTCTTCTGTTATGAGCTGCACCTCTCTACAGCTCTTATATGAAACCCACTCATCCATGAAGGAGAGCTGTGTTTTACATGTGTTAGAGTCATGGAGGCTCAACACTAACTTGCCTGAGGGTGCTATGCTTTGAAATTGCCAGCGGAGGGCAGAATAACCCGGAATTTGAAGAGGTTCAGGTAACAATTTGATATGAAGTGCAGCAGTGCAGGGACTCTTTATTTTTTTATTTTTTTATTTTTACTACAACCAGAGAACTGAACCAAAGGATTTCACATATGGATGCTGTGCTTATTAAAAAAAAAAAAAAAAAAAAAAAAAAAAAAAGTTATCTTAGAAAAAAATAATTTTACAAACACGACTGAAGCTGCTGCATGCATGAGTCAAGTTAAGAAAAAAACCACATCAGTGGATACTATTGAAATAACCATACGAGCAGCTGTTTGCAGGGTGTTAAGACACTCATAGAACCACAGAGCTTTTCTGAGTTGTTTACTGTCAGATGCAGTTATACAAGAAGCATGTCGGAGCCATTTTGCCCATTGGCCTGCATTTAGGGGCCTCTACCAAAAGGCTATTAATGGCTATTAAAATAGCTATTAATGATGAATGTTTGCGTAATAAAAGTGCAGGTGTATTATTTCACATATACATCAATGAAACCCTGGAGGACGACCAGGCAGATGTTGTGAGAGGACATTCTTCAAACTTTCAGGGCGATGACACAGTGTTACATGAACAAAAGACTGAACCTTAATGAGAGTCGTGAGCAAAACTGTTTCACGTTCACTCAAGGAGCAATTTTACCCTGAAAAACTCTCCAGTAAGAGCAAAAGTGCTTTCTCTTACTGTTTCACTGTACAGTTTTTGTTTTGCTCTCATTTGTCCAATATAATAGTTTATGCTTCACATCAATGTATGATTTAATTTCTTTCACATATTTTCAACTTTTCCAGCCCATTGGACCTGAAGCAATTGTCTATAGCCTCAGTAGGGGATATAATTTAGTAAGCTCCTCCTGAGAACCTCAGGGATGTAAGACTACAGAAAGCAAATTAACTTTTGCTGTGCCAAAAAAAAACAAAACAAGAGCATCTCTAATTTGCAAAACACCAAGCACCAGAAAGCACCTTGACAACCAGTGAGTACATCCACGCACATTTGACCTAGAGGCATGATGAAAGGAATAAAATAACCTGCACTAAAAGACACATATTCTAACATACTTTTTGATCATCTTGAGATTGACACTGGTTGCCCGTACACAACAGCCTCCTGTAAAACTGACAACATATGAGTATGTGTTCTCTCTCTTAAATTAAATCGAAGGCAACTGGACTTGTATTTGTCTGTGGAAGACGTTTCGCCTCTTATCCAAGCGGCTTCATCAGTTCATCATGTATTGGTCTCTCTAGTCCGCACTAGTCTGAGGAGAGAGATTAGAGAGATTACTATGACCTGGACGAATGAGAACATTCACAAACAGATTGCTGAGAAATTTGGGTTGGATACCTCGTCAGACTAGTGCGGACTAGAGAGACCAATACATGACGAACTGATGAAGCCGCTTGGATAAGAGGCGAAACGTCTTCCACAGACAAATACAAGTCCAGTTGCCTTCGATTTAATTTAAGAGAGAGATTACTATGACCTGGACGAATGAGAACATTCACAAACATATGAGTATGTGCCATTATTAAAGAAATAGCTGGTGTAAATGTATTAATTCTGTAGAAAATATCCTCTTCATTCCTCTTCCTTTATCTTAAGTAAACTGCAGCATTCACCTAAATTCCATTTGACTTTTATAATAGTGCCCTTTCTTCATTTATGAGCAACAAGATTTAGCATTGTTCCTGTTTTTGTTTTGATATTTCAGCACATTTTTTTCCTTCCTGTTACTGCAAAACAGCATGTGCCTGTCAGAGATGTTCAGTGTATGACGGGTTCAAGATGTGGTCCTTTGAAAAGAAGGAGAAGAAAATGTTTGCACTTAGTCGTGACAATCATTTATGAAATGTGGAAGTGCTTGCTGAGCTTTACCTGCACACTGAGCTGTAAACCACACCATCGTCATCATTATGCGAGTCCATCTGCTGCTGCCTGGAAGTGATATAGTTGATGAGTACACGTGCCTCTAATGCAAAATACATTATTTGAAAAATAACAGTTGTAAAAATATCTCACCTGTTTGACTTTCTCTTGATGTTGAAGTCAACAGTTATGTAGATGAGTTCTGTTGATGCTCCCTCACACTGATTTCCTTCTTGTGACTGGCTGTTTTCAAACACGGGCCAGTTGAGATAGATTACATTCTAGATACAACCATATATAAGACATGACGTGATTAATGCAGAACAGTGTTCTTTTCTTATGTTAAATTCTAACTTTCTGTTTCATTTCTGAGTGACCTCATGACCCCTTTACCTACACAACAAAAACAACCTCAGTTATCTGATATCCATCAAGAGTTCAGAGATAACCTGTTTAACATGTTAGCAGACAATCTCAGTGCAAGTCCCTAACAGGTTAACCTTTAATATACAGCGTATAGAGTACATACACTCAGCGAGCACTTTATTAGGAACATTTGTACACCTGCTCATTCATGCAATTATACGATCAGCCAATCGTGGCAGCAGTGCAATGCGTAAAATATGCAGATGCATGTCAGTAGCTTCAGTTTGTGTTCACATCAAACAACAGCATGAATCCATGAATCCAACCTTCTTTGTGTCAACAGTCCACTCTGGTGATGGTGCTGTAATGGTGTGGGGAATGTTTTCTTGGCAGACTATGGTCCCCTTGATACAGATCTCTCATTGTTTGAATCCCTATCTGACTATTGTTGTTGACCATGTGCATCCCTTTATTGGCACAATTCACCATCTTCTAATGTCTACTTCCAGCTTGATAATGCACCATATCACAAAACAAAAGTCGTCTTAAACTGGTTTTGTGAACATGACAATGAGTTCAGTGAACTAACCCTAACACTCCCCAGTCACCAGATCTGAACCCAGTACAACACCCTTGGGATGTGGACAGGACTTTGGCAGCAATCTACGGAAATTATGTGCAGCAATCATGTCAACATGGACCAGAATCTCAAAAGTTTCCATCATGTTGTGGAATCAATGCAAGGAAGAAATGAGGGCGTTTTGAGAGCAAAGGGAGGCCCTACACAGTATTAGCATGGTGTTCCCAAAGTGCTTGGTGAGTGTATGTCACACAGCTCTAATTCACATACAAAATCAGAACATAATAGAATCATAATTAACTTTAAATAGTTAATATAAGGATAGTGCCACCTGATTGAACGCCTCACAATCAGTCTCTGGCGCTCTTGTCCTTCCTTTGTTTAGTCTGAAAACAAATAGACTTTGTATCATCATCACATGATCGTTGTATATGAGATCAAATAGTGATATAATGTAAATACAGCTTACCTCCTGACAGCAATAATAATGGTCACAATCAGAAGTGCAGTAACAGTAGCAGCAGTAGTAATGATGACTACATTTCTGGTAAATACGCTGTTTGGAGAAAATGCTGAAAGGAAATAGGCAGTTTATAAGCCTTGGGACATAATTAAAATGTTCTACAGTGATCATTTCAAATAAACTGAACAATGTTAACCGACTACTTTATTATGTACACCTGTACAATCCTATGCTCACAAAACTGCTAGGTTAAAAAATAACCCAACCTTAACCCCACTGCTGGGTTAACTATGGACAGAACATATGTTGGGGTTGGTTTGACCCAAGAGCAAGGTTTTACGATTTAACCCAGAATGCTGGGTTGTTCAACAACAATAATAATGTCATTGTGTACTTAGTAATTTCCCATAATCACACAAACACAGAGAGAGGCCACTGTAAATGTGCATTTAATTAGTTATGCATGAATACAAATGTACCACTCCATTTTTAAACACTTTTGTTCTGGGTGTGTTTATCGTATTGTATTTTGAAATGCCTAAAATAAAGTTAAGTACACATTATTTTGTCTTTATGTAAATGCATTTTATGTTAACTAGATATAGCACTTAATGGCCAAACATAGCCAGATGCAGAGATAGCAGCTATGTTACTGACACTATCTTTGATTTTAGAATTATCATAATGTTCACTTTTTTTGTTTACTAAAATGATTGTTAAAGTTAGTTCACCAGCCACCACCCAGACCCCACCCTGCCCTTTGCAAATGAGATAAATAAATAAGAAATATAGGTCAAGTATTCACATTAACCCACTATAAAATCCTGCCCTCTGTGTTGTCCAAAGGAAAGCAAGGACGGTGCTGAGCAGAAAAATGAACGAACCAACCGCTATTGAACTGCAAACTGCGAACTTGCACCCCTAACAACTCCCTCGACCAAGCCGAATCAACCAAACAATGTGTTTACAGAAGCAACCAAGCACTTTTTGGAGTGTGTGCAATCCAATAAAATTGTTCTGCCATAAAGTCTACTTTTATGATGCCTATATAGTTTTTATTTGCCACTGGACTTAACTGTTATATTCAGGGGTGTTTATTCTACCCCCACATGTGAGGACACAGAAATTAGAAACATTTCTCTGTGTAATGTATTCCAATACTTCATTAATTATGACTTCAGTAAAAACATATACGACAATGTCAACAAAAACTGTACAATTTGTAAATGTGGGCTTTATGGCAAAGCCGATTTTATTGAATTACAATAGATTGCACAGGTGTACCTAATAAAGCATAAACTATAAAACCAATTTACTATGCAACTGTTCATGATTTTATCTGAGAATGACATTATAGGATTGGTAATATGAGCATGTTAACCAACTTACCTTTAACCTTTAAAGTCACAATAGAAGAGTTTTGACTCCCATGTTTGTTAGTGGCACTGCAGAAGTACTGGCCATCAACGGCAGGAGAAACCACCCTAAAGTGCAGTTCAAACTTATTTCCAACAGAAACGACGCCCGTATCACGATCAACTATTTTAAACCAAGTATAATTCTCCACTGGTGGGTTTGCATAGCTGCTGCAGGTGAGAGTTATTTTGCTACTGGCTTCTACCTCCGTCGATGGTCTGGCAGACCCTGATGTGTTTTTAGGGCCATCTGAAAGACAATAAGAGTCATCAGCCGTCACACTCATGTTGCAAACTAAAATAATGAATTTGTTTGGCATTTGAGTGTCTGTATTGTGCAAATCAAAATGACAAGATAAAATTAAGACACTTAATGCCTCAGTGATACAAGAGTTTAGTTCATTCAGACATCGTGTGCACTGTAGAATTAATTTTCTCTGTCTTAGATTTCTTTGTTTCTTGAAGTATTGATCCTGTGTCCAGTACTCACGTTCAACATTAATATTTATGACTTCTGAACTTGTTCCTTTGTGTGTTGTTATGGAACAAGTGTAGTTTCCAGAGGTTGTGGAGGAAATGTTGCTTAAATAAAGTGCACGTCCTTCACTTATAGCTTTTCCATTCTTAAACCAGGTGAAAGCAGATGAGAGGTCACCACCATTACAGCTGTTTATGCAGGTCAGATTCACAGAGTCGCCTTCTTTCATTGTTCCATTTCCATTCGTTTTCGTCACCAAAGTCTTCAGATCTAGAAGAGTGACGTGCTGCTTGAGTTTCAAACTTTGTAGATTCGAGTGCAGAGAAGATACACAACTCTATTTTGTTTAAGAAAAAGAACAAACTTACCAACAATATCTAATTTTGAGCCACCTATACCAGTCCATTTGTCATCTGGGAGGTTCATCTCAAATCTAAATACATATTTACCTGTATCATTATGCTCTACTTGGTCTACTCTAAATGAACAATTGTTAATTGTGTCACCAATATACTGAAACCTTGAGGTGTTATCTACTGATTTGCTGTTAAATATGAAGGGACCCTCATAAAAATTATTCCTTTCATGACCCCACATGACACTTTGCACTTTCTTGTTGTAAGGATGGTCAAATGAACATGGAATGACAACAGACGAGCCTTTCACTGCACAGATATTTTTCAGTTGATAGTCCACTTTCCACTCTTTGCAGAGAATACCTGAAATAAATGTGTTCATTCATTCTTTGTTAAATCATATAATTTAATCATCATAATATTACCTTAAATGAGATATAAGTGCTGTACTTACCAGACAGAATCAGAAGCATCTGTGTCCAGGTCAAGTTTCTGCGTTCAGAGCACATGCTGAAACTCTTCCCAGTCAAGTAATCATAAAGCTGCTAATCAAGATACATTTGTTTTCTACTCAGAAAATAGTGTTACTTTGTCCTTCCTCTTCTTCCTTTACTAAGTACAGCTTTTTGTAAAGATTTGGATCACCCTGAAATCAGGTCATACACACACACTGCAGACTCGGTGCACTGCTTAAATTTGAACATGTGAGGTATATACACATGAAACCAGGCCCTGCTTAGAGGAAATATATCACGCACCAGTGATGTTGCTTTCTTGTGGTGAAACAACTGCCAGAGCCACTGCCACTTTTTTGGTTTTTTTTTGTTTTTTTGGGGTTTTTAAAAAAAAAAACACAATTAGATGATACTGACCGATTGTTTTATTCAAGTTCCACATTTACTTTTGGTAACTTGGAGCTTAAATGGAAAACTGTATATATTTTATACCTGTAACAAAAAATCGGCTATTAAAGGGGAACCCCATTGGTTGTTTACAGGACTGAGGGAGTTGTACTGCATATCTGAAAACAGTTGTTAAAAGCCTTTTGTGGTTTCAGAAGGAGCTGCACAACATATGATAAACTGACTCAAATGATGACACTTGTGAGTCAGCGTTGGGGAAACAAACTTGCATTAAAAAACTTTTTTTTTTTTTGCTTCTTTGATGAAACCCTGTGATAAGTTCCATCAATTGACATTAATCTTTGTTGCAGGCAACCCCCACTCTGCTGTAACACTGAGGGGAAGCAGAGGGAAGAAAGGGCATCATGTGAAAATGTGTCAGTAGGGTGTCAGACTCTCGTTGTTTAGGCACGACTTGAACAATTAAATGGTACACACTAGACTGAGGAAGATTTATGAAATCTCATAAACACACAGCCGGAAAAACCATTGCAACAGTAGGAAAATGATGCATATCAAAGACGTGTATCACTTTTACAGATTCATATCGTGGTAGGAAGTTGCTGGAATACTTTATTTTGCATGTTTCAATAGTCAGTTTCATACCATTTCATTACACGTATTAGTGTTAAGTTGAAGATGTCTGTTTTTGATATTTTTCATGTTTTTCCTATTGTCTGGATTATTATCTTTACTGTAATGATTTGTAAGAAAATAAAACAAAAGATTATGAAGCAAATAACCTGAAAAAATGTATTACTGCACAAAACTGATTGTTTTTTGGGAAATTACAGAGGTTCAATATGTGAAGTCTTCAACAGTTGGGTCCTGAAAAAGAAAAGGAAAATTTTTGTAGTGAAGATGTCTTCACAAATATCAAATATCAATTTCTGATGAAATCTGGAAGAGCTTGTTCAACTTTACCTGCACACTGTGCTGTAAATCACATCTTCATCATTATGGGAGTCCATCTGCATTTGATATAGTCAGTCAGTACATGTGCCTCCAGTGCAGCAAAAATGATATTTAAAAATCAATAACAATAGTCAAAACATCTCACGTTTGACTCTCTTTTATTGTGGAAGTGAACAGATGCGTAGACAAGTTCTGTTGTTCCTCCCTCTCACCGACTTTCCTCTTGTGCTTGGTTGTGGTCACAGATAAACCAGTTGACATAGTCTGTATACTGAATATATTCATGAAGAAATAACACACGATTAACCGATGAACAAAAAAGTCCTCCACTTACAGTTAAGTCTACTTTTTAAAATTTTATAATGAGCTTCTGCACGATCCTTTGATCCACACCCACACAACAAAAACAACCTCTCTCTTCTCTTATCTAACGTCCATCATAGCGTTTGTCATACATCAGAGAATTAGGATGTGGGTTTTACTTGCCTTCAACCTGCTTAACTCAGCTGCAAACAACCTCTGTGCAACTGTCAGCTCGATTTTTCACATAGACTATACTTCCCAGCAATGTATGCTATGATCAAATAAGACTACAGTAAAACCTGAAAGTGTAAGCGTTAAATTCTCAACAATACCTGTGCCACCTCTGTGTCCTTCTCACAGTCTGTCTTTGGAAACCAAGTCGTCTTATTGTTGAGTCTGCAACGGAGAGACAGATTTATCGCATGATCATTGCTGTTTGACTGGTGAGGTAATTGTGATATGTGATAAGCAATCAATAACAGTTCAGTTTCAAAGTGTCTTTTGATAGCAGGACTTCTATGACATCAGGACTGAGCTACTGAGTTCCTCTAAGGGTAATTGGTGGTAATTATTACCTGCTTCACTGTGTGTGCATGTATGCATGTTTGTAATTAGGTGTCAAAGGAAGAAATCAATATATTGATTCACACAGGCATCACCCTCTCAGAGGTATCTAAAGGCTGACCAATTCATCCTTGCATATTTGTGTGATACAGAACATGTCCATGCTTTGCCAATCAGGAGGCTCCCACTCAAGCCCATTGGGCCTGTCTGTATTCCTTACTTATGTTTCCCTGACAGCAGCAGATGGCATAAACGCAGCTTACCTTTTGATGACAATAACAGTGGTCACAGTCAGAAGCATAGCAACAGTAGCAACAGTAGCAATGACAAGTACATCTCTGGTAAATGTTGCCCAATGTGCTGCAAAACAAAGGCAGTGTGTTACAGCTTTGTTCGGAACAACTGTCTTTTGACCGTAGTGTACACCTTCAAAAGTTATTGTCAACCTTTCAAATCTTAGTTTTAATGTTTTTGATATGTGATTGTAATTTAAACTCATAAGAGCTTTATGGTAATTTCATTTTGTTCCCTTCATCAAAAGTTCAAGTCAGTTTGTGACAAAGGGAAGGGTTACCACTTCAATACGATTCTACATTTTGGGTTTTAATAAAGTCAGAAGAAATGAAGAAATACAAATATATCTGCAGGGGTAAATGGTTGCTTTTGCAGTTATCATCACTGTTTGCATGCATACTGAAGTGGACCTTGTGGGACTCCACAAAGCAAAGCAAGTGACAACAAAACCTAAGGGTGAATGGTAAAATCCAAAACATCATATCAATTTTTCCAAGCAGTTCATCATGATTTAATCCCTCACTAAGGTCACCAAACAACTGGATAAATCATCCATATTAACCTACTTACGTGGAATCTGCACCACAGAGGAGTTTTGACTTCCATGTTTGTTCGAGACGCTGCATAAATATTGGCCACTTTCACCAGCAAAAAACACAGGCTGGTGTCCAACATCCACAATATCACCACCACATATTTTAAACCAGGTATAATTCTCCACTGGGGGGTTTGCATGGCTACTGCAGATCAGGGTGATGTTGCTGCCAGTGTCTTCCTCTGTCGATGGTCTTACAGACACTGATGTGTTCTTAGGGCCATCTGAAAGAAAAAACAGACTCATCACTTCAAGTCATCAGTTCATTTTGGCATTTAGGTTTTGTTAATGCAATGTGAAAATTTAGAATGATGTAAGGGATTGTACAAAAATTACTGGGGGTTAGAAGGGCGGCTTATGTTTCATTTAACAAAAAAAGAAAAAAGAAAAAAAGGGCCTCTCAATATTTCGAATAACAATAATATTTCAGCATTTAACTAACAGCTCCTTTAACCACATAAGAGAAGAAAATTTAGTATCTTAAAACATTAATTTTAAAAGTGTGCTTCACCAATGTAAACATTAAAAGGATTAAAAGGGAAAGCTAGCAACAGTGTGTCCATTTTAACATATTTCAGCCATTCTCTATCTTTGAAGCCAGAATAACTACTGTAAATCACAAACACATAAACATGTGAAGAACTGATCATATTAGTAATGTAACTATAACACATTTAGAATAAAGCCCCCCGCTTCTTTTCTGGCACTCCCTCCCAACCTACAGTCCCTCACATCATGTAGTGACTCAACGCCTCAGTGAGTCGCAAGTTTTAGGCTCTGATCTCGTTTTAAAGTATTGATCCAGTGTCCAATACTCACATTCAACATCAAGACTTATGACTCCTGAAGTCGCTCCTTCATGTGTTCTTAGGGAACAAGTGTAGTTCCCAGAGTTTGTGGAGGAAATTTTGCTTAAAAAAAGTACAGATTGTTGATTTAGGGGTTTTCCATTCTTAAACCAGGTGATAGCAGATGAGAGGTCACCACCATCACAGCTGTTTATGCAGGTCAGATTCACAGAGTCGCCTTCTTTCATTGTTCTGTTTCCATTTGTTTTCGTCACCACAGCCTTCAGATCTAGAGGAGTGAAGAGCAGCTGAAGTCTCAGACTTTGAAGGTTGCAATTTATAGTTGATTTATTTATTCAAAAAGGATTAAAAACAACTTACCAACCACCTTTAATGATGGGCCAACATTACCAGGCCATCTGCTTATTCTGCTATTAAACCTGATGCTGTATTTTCCTGCATCATTATGCTTTACTTGGTGTATTTTCAAAGAACAATCGTGATGTTTGTCACCAATATACTGAAATCTTGTGGTGACTTTTTTAAAATTACTAGAAAAAACGATATGACCCTTGAGATGACGAAACTTGACGTGACCCCACGTGACTCTCTTCACTCTCAGGTTGGCAGGATGGTAAAATGAACAGGGGATCACAACAGAAGAGCCTTTCACTGCACAAATACATTGCTGTTGATACTCCACTTTCCAGCTATTGCAGAAAAGACCTGAAAGAGATAGATTAATTCATATCCTGCAAGATTTTTATCATTTTTAATAAAACATTGAATGAGATGCGAGTGTTGTACTTACCAGCGAGAGACAGTAGCATCACTGTCCAGCTTAGGTTTCTGCATTCAAGGCGCATGCTGAAACTCTTCCAGTAATTCTAATCACTTTTCAAATGCCTGTAAGACCTGCAGGCCACAGTGAATGTTTTCACCTAAAAAATAGTTGGGGAAATGTGTCCTCTCTTCTTCTTCATCTGCTTTTTACTCTACATACTGTAAACTGTCTCCTAAAATGAAACAATAAGGCCTTGGGTTGCCTTAACACTCAAGTTCTCAGGCCGTGAAATCAGGTCACCTAAACCACAGGCTCAGCATGCCGCTTCAATTCTTTCTATTTGAATGTGAGGAATATGAAACCAGCCCCTCTGTATAGAAAACTCTTATCCTGTGCACATATGCCTGATGATGATGCTTTGTTGTGGTCAAAGCATTTTCATTTCAGTTAGCACTGTGACATTTTATGGTTTTTGTGTAACATGATGAGATGATGTATTGACCAAGTGTTACCACTGTTGAAGTTTGTGTGTCTATGTTTATTTCATTTGCGTTTTCACTGTTGATAGGTGATGATGAAACACAGAGTAGGGGAGGTGGGAGCTATGTCAGTGTTTGTTGACAAAAGAAAGAACTTACTTTTAGGTTTGGGTGAACAGGTTAAAATTCCTGCCTTATATGCCTTCATTTATTAGACCTTTTTTTTGGAATAGGATTTAATCACAAAAAAAAAATTTATCTCAAAAGTAAAAGAACACAATATTTCTGAGTTCTCCAGAAGCTATAACTTTATGGAGGATTTCTCAGTGGTGGGTGTGAATTGTCCTCTCTTGCGCAGTTTTCGTTGACGAAATTGCGAGCACGATCACGGGGTCCCTATAAGTAGACTCTAAAAACGGAGGCATGAGCAGTGAGCGGTGACAAGCAGGAGGACCAGTCGTTAAAATTTAGAGGACCAATCCTCAGCGCTCGACATGGAGATGACCATTAAACTTATCTTCCCAATCGTGGTGATCTCCGTGCTGCTCGCATGCAGTCCGACGGAAGCTTGGTACAAGCAAGTAGCCGGTCCAAGCTACTACTCAGTGGGCAGGGCGTCCGGCTTGCTGTCCGGTATTCGGAGATCACCGTACGTCAGGAGAGCCGAGCTGGACTCGTCAGACAGCGGAGAGACCGCGACCAACAACGTGTTTTCTGAATTAACCCCGCACAATTTCATCCTGAAGACGATGGTCAGTAGTCATCCGTTTTATTAGCATACTATGGGTTGGATAAGATTGTCGTTACGCATTACGCATGGCAACCAACTGTAGCTGGGCGCAAAAGTGTATCAATATGCACTTGTTCCGGTTTTGTTGTTTAACTTAATACTGGTTACTGTGACAGTAAGACTGGCTGGAAACAAGCGAAAATACATTTCAGATTTCAAACTTAAGATTTCGTTGGCACTATTGTACTCAATATTGAGGTTGTAGTTTGTAGTAGTCGTAATGTCTGGCTACATTTTTACAGAAAAAATCTTTAAAGCATGGTACGGCCAAAAACAGACATTATTATATTATTAGATAGATATTTTTTAAATCAATCAAATTATTTTTAAAAAGCCATCAATCCCTTTCTATTAGACACTTCAGTTGGAAGGGAGCTGTTCAATCAGCACCACTGAAACAATGTACTGCAAAGAATTGTAAAGAAAATCCGGATGTGTAATTGTAGTAGTGGTCTTTGGATTTTTTTTTTTTTTTTTTTTTTTAACACTATGGTGCCACAACAATATAAATCTACTTATACTTACAAGTATTTAGTCAAAATAAGAAAATAGAATGTATTGTGTATGCTCATTATGCAGCAGACTGGTCACTGTCAAATCAAATTATGGATTATATTTGTGTATTATTACCAATACATATAAGGGAAACATTTTAATTTAGCTACTTTTAAGTACTTCATATAGTTTTGGCCAGTTTAATTCTTCAGTTCTGTAATAATAATAATAAATTAACTTCATGTTTTCTGTATGTGAAATCCTAATCTACAGAGTTACCAGTAAACACAACTGTCATATTTCTCTCTGAAATGTATGAACTAGAATAAGTACTTCAAATTATAGTTATGTGCAGTACTTGAGTAAATATACTTAGACATTATGCTGCTATAAAATGTTAGGAGATAAAGACCTACAGAGAAGAGGTCCATATAACATTATTGATGACCAGTTCTCTGCAGGAATATTCGTCAACCATCACACTTTTTGTCTGATACAAGTGTACAGAATGTACGGGTTACATTACAGGTTTAGTTCTTTAAGCACCCTCTAACTGAATCATTTGTCTTTTTCTCTCTAAACAGCCTGTTTGTATTAAAGACATTACACCAAACCTGCAGAGCTGTGAACTCTTACAGGAAACCAAGGGATCATTCAAGTGCAAAGCAGATGTCTTCCTCTCTCTGGACTCCTCAGACTGTGCAGGGGACTGAGCAGTAAAGCCGACAGCTGAGCTGGATGATGAAGCCTGCTTCTTGAAGGCATTACATTTAAAAACTGTACATTGTCCTAACTTTAAGTTTAAGGCTAGTGTCGAACTAGATGGAAGATATGCTACTTTTCATGTACCATTTCACCAATTTATTGATTTTATGGTTAAACTGTCGGAAATCTAAGCTGTAAAAGTAATGTATTAATGTATATATATTTGATCTGAGTTTTCATTAATAAATGGATCATGTTGCAGCCCATGCTGAAATTACTGGATACAGAATGTATTACAGTGTATGTTTTTCTTCATATCAACACTGGAGATAAATCACTTGCTGCACTATTTCTAGAAGGTATGTATTTGCCATAAAGACAATTTAATTTTCCACAGAGATTAATAGTTTGGTTATTGGTTATTTAGAGGGTGTAAATTTGTCCAAAAAGACTGGAAAAAGGAACACACTGACTAAAAATTGGTGTACTTTTCCTAAATTGCATTTAACATGCAACAGCTCATGATTCAATTAAACTGCATTAAAATGTCCAAGCACGCTCATCAATAAATATTTTATTTTAAAATGTTTTAAAATAAAAGACTGTGCAGCTTAAAGAAAATAATCTTAACCTTATTAGCCACTTAAATAACTTAAAAAGGTAAAACATTTACTCACAGATCAGCTGTGATGAAATTTAAAGTCCAGTGCTGCGAAATGACTAAAAACACAGTGTTCAGAAAACCTTTACAGCAGCTGAACAGCAGCTAGGTTCTCCTTGATAATCTGATCTATGACCATGTGGAAGACCACCTGTATGTTGGTGGTGTCTGTAGCCGTGGTGAAATGGTGGTATATGGTCTTGTCAGGACTACTGTTACATGATGAAAACATGGTAGTGATGTGGTGGGCTGCAGCATTCACATCACCATCTGCTCCTGGATTGGGATGAAGAAAGAAAATGACACATCTAGAGAAATCTAATTGAGTTCAGTAAAGAGTCGTTTTTAAGAGTCCAATGAGTCCAAGTCATGAAATATAGATAAAATAAGGCATCAGGTTTGCGTGACAATCTGTCTGTACATTAATTTACCTTCTCAATCTGCAAATACACAAATAAAAACATGATGCACAGACATCAAATGTTTGCTTCTCAGTTACTGTGATGAGTGTGAAATATGTATGAACATGCTCTGTCCAGAATGAGTGATACAGTGATGACTGTACTGACTCTGGCCAGAAGGAATTCTGATTACCCAGCGGACAGGGAGGATACAATGAGCCATCCAACAAAACAATAAAAGAGAAACACAAACAATTCCATGAGGAATTCAAGATCCTAAACAAATACGTCCAAGCCGAGTGTAATCTCTTGAGAAGTAGTTGAGCCAGAGCTAGGACACCGTGCCTTAGCACATCATTACACATACTGTGAAAGTTTCCCTTTCCTAAAAAACAAAATACAGAAGTATGCCATACTCCGATTCGCATAGAAACTTCATGAGTGAGCCTAAAAACAGGGTTAGAAAAAGTAAGAAAAAAACTGTACCTAAACAAACATTTACACCAGACAATTTAATGGACAAAACATTTCTTTGCAGTGTACCTGTATAACTAGGAAGGTAAAATCTCAGGTGTCGTCCAGAATGAAGGATCTTCTCTCGAAAAAGGTCAGTTTTGTTCATGAACAGAATCTGTAGGAAAGAGATGGCACCAGAAAGGTGGTTGAAGTCTTTCAGTGTTGATTTTTCAGTTTGACTCATTAGTTTAAAAAAAAAAAAAAAAAAAAAAAAAAAAAAAGTGTGAAAACACACAAAACTTTGTAAATGATTCCATCTCACTGAGGCCCACCATCATTTCACACCAGCTGTCAGATTTTACAAAGCAGTTACTCACATCTCAAAAACATTATTCATTTTAGTTTGAAAGAAAGAAATAATCCTACAACTAAAATGGTACCTTTATACTGCTGTACAAAAAGTTAAATATTAAAAGTCAACCAGCCTGGTCCAACAGAGCTACCTCAAGAGCATCCTAACATCCTTTGTAAAAGATATGTACACCTCTCTGTTGACACAGGACAAAATACAGTGAGCATTCATCTCTGCAGCAGGCCATCAACAAGAAATGCACAACTCCAGAGCCAAAGCACACACATACACAGTATGTGTATGAGATTATTCATGGTTCAGTCCATAAAAACAGAAACTACTGGCACTAAAGCACTGAAAGGTGGGGTCAGCATTATTGTATTAAAAAAAAAAAGATTTTAAAGCCCCATAATGACTTCATACCTTTTTCTAAGGATTTACAGAAAATGAATCATGTAACCATACAAAAACAAAAGTAATATCACTTAGTACTGTTCAGGTAACATAAAAAGGAGGAAAAATCTGTTGATCTTCCCATTTTTATTATTGACTTATTGTGGCTTCTTTTATTACGCTTTTGCATATTGCCATAGCATACCAACTCTATAGAATCTCTCCGTACTTAAATATAAAAGCAACTGGCTAGCCAGCATTTAAAACAAACATTTTAAAAATGGCCATAAGATAACCCTTGCCCCTAAACGCCTCAAGTTAATCAAGTGCAGATATACGGTAAATGCTACTGGCCAACAAGTGAGTCATTCATGCCCATTATCAGCAGTCCCACATATTCTCAGCATGAAAGAAATCAAACAAACAATCTAATTACACCGAGTGTTAAACTGCCAACTTATTAAACAGAAATCACCTGCCCTACACTTTAATTAGACCATGAATGATTACCAAAAAGCCACTCAGAGCTGTATTCACCTCCCACACCTTTAGATGAGCTTGAAACAGACATGGCAGGCAGACTATGCATATCATACAAGCAGATGCCATAAAAATGAAACACTAAGTTATACCTTATTGTATTCTCATCTTTAAGAAAGCCAGTTAAATAAGTGCACATAAACTTACCAGTGAGGTACTGTTAAAGACCGTGTTGGTGCAGACTGATGTAAAAAGTTCAAGACTTTCCTGCAGACGATTCTATGAGGAAAACATGAAAATAGATTAATATAGATTCACTTTTCTCCAAGTTCAGCAAAACTAGGTGTCAATTCTGCCAAGTAAGGACAGAAATATAGCATTACACTTGTTTACTGTATGTGATTACTAGTCGATTAGTCTTTTTCATACCACTAAGGGGTCCTCCATCAGTGTCATATCATAGCTGCTGAGGGCCACGACAAACAACACGACCTGCATACAGTCAAAGCAATTGAGCCACTTCCTCCTCTCACTCCGCTGGCCCCCGACATCATATAACCTGTCAATATGCAAAACATGGGCATGATTTTCTCCATGTTCCATCCTGTAAATCACTAATCAATCTATAAAGATGTACTTCCACTGGAGAGCTCAACAGCACAAAACTGTCCCTTTTATAATTTTATATCAAGTCGCAGAAACTGAGTAACATGACTTAACATATTGTTTAAGTAAAATGTTATATATGAATTACCAATATAAAATCATTCAAAATATATTTCATAAATAACTTTACTGATACCACCAGCCTGGGGGAAAAGTTTAACTACCATTTAAACCAACTTCTGGAAAAAAAAAAAAAAAAAAAAAAAAAAAAAAAAAAAAAAAACCTCAACTGTCTTACTCTTTCAAATATTGGGGTAATCTATTTCAAAATACAATCTGGCACTAAGTGAAGCTGGGGGTCTTGGTGACACAGGTAATGAGTTCCCATTTGGGCCAGACAGTCTCCAGGTGCATGATTGCACCAGTCATGTCAGAGGCAATAAAGCATTTATCCCCCAGGTCAAGAGTCAGTTTTAACAAGCTGGGGGACAATAAGTGATAACCATGGTATTTGACAGCTATAGTTTCTGTGCTGCAGAGAAAAAACTAATTTGCTCATGACCGCAAGAAGGTTTTGGAGTTTTAGTCAAGGAGCAGGATCACAGCTATAAAATGATACAACTTGTAAGACCTGAGGAAATAACATGCTTGAATTTAGGCATTTGGTGGAATTTGCCCAAGAGGTGAGACTGACTCGCTCCGAAGCAGTTCCAGATATGTTTATCAGAATTGTGTTATGCAAGTTTTCAACAAAACATCTGAAGCCCACAATTTATTAATATGGAGATAGAGGGCAAGGCTATATAATCTGAACAATAAACAGACAAGAAATAAACTACTGCAGGGAGCATCACAACTTTCACAGGGAGATTGCGTGATACCACTACATATAATCTAATGACTTTTTCATGGTCATAACTGAAAGAATGATGTTGGGACAGTATGACCTACAATTATTTATTGAGTACATGATTTTATTGACAAATCATTTTGTCAGTACTTCCCAGATGGATTCATTAATGTGACCTGGACCCAAATAAGTGGTAGAAATTGATGGATGGACTAACCAATAAAAAAAAAAAGTTTGTCTTGTCATTTGAGTCAATGATCTTTGTAGATAGTAACAGTTTCTGGTTTGATGGCACTGACCGAAACTCTACAAAAAATAATTTAATAGTCTGTGCACACAATCGACTGTCGCACCACTCCCTCTGTTGGTTTATTGGTGTATGTGTCCCGCAGCCACATAAAAAAAAATAAAATAAAATTTTTAACTTATGTTACTGTTAAAAATATTCAAGAACTTTGCAAATGAAATTTAAGACTTTAATACATTCTAAGGCCTTTTGTTGAGGGAGCCGAATTTAATGCTTTTTATAACCTGCACATATCCTGAAAAGATGCTGTAAAATTTAACATTTCACAAAGTAAAGCATTCTGTTGTAATTCTAACCATGAGAATGCTACAGTATGCAATATTCATGAAGTCGGTATGTTATCTTTGGTATCTAGGGACTGGGCGCAGGTAGCATTATGAATGGTTGCGTACTTTGAAAACATAAGTTGAAAGGGGGAAGGGAGGAGGGGTTTCAATGTTTCATTGCTATGCTTCCTCCACATTTTATTCCTGGAATAACCAGGCGGAGTGAAGCCATCAATATTTCATGTCTGAGTCATGCCCAGGCAGCTGCCTCCCTCAGCTTAAAGGGGTTCAGCTTTCATCAGGGACCATTGAAGAGTTGGTGGTGAGGCCTAGTCTCCAGAGCCTCACTGCTTCCTCAGACAGCCACATGTGTAAGTGTGTATGACAACTCCATGAATGGTAACTATGATGGAAAATAAATTAAAATCCAAAAGTCCTTACTGGACCATAGGTTTTGTTTGTCTGCTAACAACCAACAACTTAGTCGTTACATTATGAAGCATCTTCTGTATCTACGGGTACATAATAAATTTAGCATTCATTTGTACACAATATATAGCCTGGTCCATTTCTTGCATGATTTTGTTTTAGTTATTGTCTGTATTTGTACATACTGCTGTGTGTGTGTGTTTGTGTGGGGAAGTCTATATCCTTCTGGTTGCATTCCATGTTGCTTTCAGATTTTAATATCCAGGTTATAATCAAGATTTGTTCATTGAATTGGTGAGGTGTTTCAAGGGATTATAATGCGAGACCAACACTTCATCATGTCATAATACATCAAAAGCTTGACTGAAGGACACAAACAGTTCAATTGCCCCTTGAAAGTACAGGAAGGTGAAATATTGTTTTAATATTAGTGCATATTTAGGAATGAAATCATCCCTCTAACAGTAAATGGAAATCATGATTTTTTTTTCAAGCAACTTTCAGTGCGCTCCATGTGAATCATTAAAGCCTTTACCCTTATGAACGTATATAAAGCATTAGGTTGGCATTGCCAGTGCAGGTTTATATTATGTACACAGCAGTGTATAATGTTGCAAGCCACAGTTGGATTTAGTTTAATAAATCTTACCGAAAGATTGTTTCATTAACTTGAAACTGCGTCTCAATGATTCCACAGGTCCTCACTCTGACTCTCAGAACATCTGTCTCAGTGGGGACGTAGTTGGGAGCGAGGATTCGACTCATGTTCTCAAAGAAACTGGAGAGGTGGGCAGAGACAAGAAAACTCACTAACTGATGAGACTAACATTTCAAGAGGTAAATATGGAATTTAGAGGTAAATTAGACATACATCCCATCCCAATTCTGCTTTTGTCTCAGATTTTATTTCAGTCTTCATAGTTCTTACCCATGTTAGGCAAAGACAACCAATTTTTAGGCCTATTAAAAAGGGAAGTTATGACATGTTTTAGAGTATATGATACGGTTCACTGAAATTAAAGAAAAGCTCTGTTCAGTTACACAACCATGTTTCTGTATCATTCAGGGAATTATTCAGCTACAAAGTATTTGCCATTTTATTAGGCTAAACCAAAGCTAAACCAAATGCATTCTACATCTTCAGCCTTGCAACACATCCTACCACTATGAAGGGTAAGATGTTACATTTCTGTTGAAACAGATTTAGAGAGATGCTCATTCAACTTTCAACATTCTAGAGGCTGTGGTCTATGGTGCTGAATTGTTTTGCGTTAAACTGAGTGGCGTTTGTAATTATTTAGCCTATAGATATTAATGTTACAATCATTACATTGAACTATTTTGCACTATGAACTGCATAGAATAATGTGTCAGGTTTTTGAAGTCCTATTTACAATTAAGAGGGACATTGAACAGACTCCGCAAACAATTGGGGCTAATAGAATATCGAGCACAGAGAAGCTACAGTCAAAAGCACCAACACCTGCTGCAACACTACAGCTACACCAGATGCAAACATAGCAAGGCACAAAGCAGCGTGAAGAGAATATTTTTTTAACCTGGCTACACATCTGTATGAGTCATACTGTAGAAGCACACTAAGTTTTCAACAGTGATTTCATATTGTTAAAATATGAATGTGAAAATATCGGCCAAGTCAGCTATTCCACAGTACGACATGTCCTGGGGCTGGTTTCATGAAGAGACTTCGATATAATAGTTAGACTTCAGAGAGACGTCAACATTCATATTCTGCACAAAGCCTATGCTACTTATTGACCATTTTATGTTGGACTAATTTGCAATAAATAATGGGTAAACTAAATATCTTTTTTCAAACTAAAAAACATGGCAGACTAAGCAGCCACATCAAACCACCCATCTGCCTTCAATCCAGCAGAAAACATTTGTCTTTTGAAAGAATTCAGTGATTAAAAAGATAAAGTATTTTGCTGGGAAATTCTATAAAAAGTTAAAAAAAATACAAAATACTTCCAGTGGCATAAAATCTCAGAGAAGTGCAGAACTGTAGCAGAGCTGAGATAGTGAAGCAGAGCTCTGTAATTCTGCTAACTCTTCAGTGAGGCACAGTAGTTTACTTGAACAAACAGAACTGACGGAAATATACAGCAGTGTGGACATTTTCCAACAGATCTAGAAACTCTTTCCTTTCTCATCACGCACTCCACAAAAATGTTGACAAACCACAAATTATGGATTACATGGATCTTTGTTCTAAGTTAGCCTGGAAGTGGGGTGGCAAACTTTTCAGGCTCAGAATAAGTCAGACAGTTTCACAAAAATAAAGACTAAGGCTGGTCTTACACATACCAATCTGAAGTCCCTTCGTGAAATTGGCCCCAAGTGTGTAATTTCTCGTTTTAATGACCTGTATTCATTCAGTTCTGGCTCTGAACACAAAATTTATATGGGCTGCCTTGCATTGTCTCTGTTATGAATATTTTATCTCAAACATACTTCAACATTCATTTCAAAAAACACAAAAATACATCTCTGGACAAAGCATTTCTACGCAATTCTACCAGCTGATTTCCATTTTCAGAATCTTCCATCTCTCAGCAGTGGGTTCAAGTTAATGAAGCGAGGGCTGATTAGAATGGATTTCTAAAACACACAGCTTACATCAATAGCCAACTTCCTGTAATTGCAAATTTCTTTTTAGCAATAATAACAGCTCAGTTCATGCCAAAGCTAATGTCCAAGAAGTCATTTCACACATCAAGGTGCCTTCAGGTCCTGGGGAAGTCAAGTGTGTCACGACACAGTCTAATCCAATATTCCTGGAGGGAAAAATCAATGTGGGGTCCAGTAGAGTGAGAACACTGAAAGAGAGCTAGTTGAGTTTCATGTCATCCTCCAGCTCCCAACCTTATTGAGTTTCGATAATGAAGCTGTCACATCTTCATCTTTCTCTGTCTGGCCAGCTGGAGTACGTTTTAACTTGGCAGACCTCCTCCCTGTTGTCTCTGAGATAAGGACTTCTACTCATTACATTTAGTTTTTTAAGGAACTACTGAAAAATCTCACATTCACCTTCATTTTAAAGTCTTTATGCAATGGCTGCAAAAGTGGTCACAATACACCATTTTGTGTTGTTATTAAGTGATACACCAGCGGTTAAGGCAGTGGTTAAATGACAAACACTGAAGGCAACTTAATGAGCTAAGCAAGTGGGTTATGAAATTAGCAGTAGCTGAAGATGATTAGCACTTTTAAATAGGTCTGATAGTCACTTTCAAGGGGAGGTACGGCAACTCACAGATGTACAGTACAGTATAAACGGGGGGCACATATTTATTTGACTCAAGTAAAAAATGCTTTAAAATTGTTTTATTTAAAAATGATTATGGTTTTAACTTGGATAATTTAGAAGCAGATTTGCATTTACAATCATGACTTCTGTTTTTTTGCCCACAAGAATATCAAACAATCACCAGAAATACACGATATTATATCACTAGTAGCTGTGTCAACAAGTATAACACTTGTTAGGGGTTGATTTAAAAAATAATAATAATCACACATCATAGCTGGCATGAAACTAGGAGCCCAAGCAATAATGCCATTTAACAAAATGTATTCCACTCTTCAGTCAAGAATCCTCTCCTTCAGCTGGTGATGCAACACACTCAAAAATGATCTATGCAGAGTACTGAGTTAGGATTTCATGACATTGTGCAGGCTGCTTTTTTGTGAACAACTAAAAAGGGCATAACTGCATGGCCAAAGGGCAGCAATTGGAAAAACCTGTTCTACCCACATAAATATAAAAATGTCCCACATGCAGACAAGGGGGTAAAACACTGGCTGTATTTTAATAACTTCTGTTCCATAATTTAATGACATAATTTGCAAAGAAATGTACTGTACAGATTCAACAAAACCTACCTTAAGTCCACCCCCCAACCTGCAGCTTCACAGATATGATGTTGTTTGACTTGTTAGACAAGATAACTGACTCTTTAATCATGTCTGTTTCATGTGCTCCACCTCAATTCCCCGTCTTCCTGTATGACTGTAAACAGTGCTTTTTAAATTTGGTCCCAATTAAGCCTCCCATTCCACAAATGTCACAGGAATCATTTCCTGAAGATGAGTTATTCTCAGCACTTGTTACTGTTGCTCTGTATTGACGAAATGTGACGACATGCTTCTTACTGGGCAATTTCCTTTGACATTTCCACCGTCAGTCATAATCGGGAGGTGTTGTGCAGTGTAGATCACTTAAGGTCATTCTACTCACTAGAGTGCAGAGTCGTTCAGCTCAAACTCGTAACCTTTGGCTGCGGCTGCTCGCACCCCTTGGTCGGCCCAAAGCGCATAGAAAGCGTGAGCCACGAAAGGAAGCAGCTCCTGATCGTCCCCCAAACACTGACTGCAGGACAAGATAGAGCGGGCGTGCATCTGAATGGGACAAAGATTCTGTCAAACAGGACAACCTGCATATTTCTACAGTTTCACACTGACATCTACTGGGACAAATAGGGTTTGCAAGGAAAAGTGGACCACCAAGATGGAACTTTTTTACAATGAAATGTATGATGATTTGATAAAACCTTATTGTATCATCTCCTCACCTTGTTCCTCTTGTTAGCAAGGTTTATCCTCAGCATCCCCATTCCCCGAAGAACAAACTTCATAGAGGTCAGGAGGTTGTCTAATACAGCATGCTGCGAGGGGAATGACAGTCAACATTTTTTCACACAGAAGATGTGTTATCAGTGATGCTGAATGTTGTTTTTGATTCAGATAACTTCAATATTTTAGGGTGAATATAAATAAACATGATCCATTTGTTTCACAACTATCTAGTACCTTAAAACTGATCAACTCTTGCTTGGAGAAGCCGTGACTGTGCATTATCTTTATCTGTTTGATCAGAGTACTCTTTCCACTCTCTGCAGCTCCTGTTGCACAAATCAGAGGAAGCCTTTCACTTAAAAAAAAGTGTCAGTACCATAGGCCAACATGATGATCCATAAATGCCTTTAACTTACCAAGCATAAGGATTTTCACCACATTCATCTCTGTCCTTGCATGTTCACAAAGGTCTTGTTCTATTTTAGAGCTCTGGAGTTTAGCCTTTTTGCCCTCCTCTGTAACATCCTGGTGAAGGCACATTCCCATGCAGATCTAAGGAAGAATTTAGTTTTCACATGCAACTAGGAAACTTTGGGTTCTCACTAACTACAATATTAAGCTAATATTTGCTAATTTTTCCCTTTAGTATATGGCAAATAATATAACTTTATATATGGTATAGGATGTGTTTGAGGAAGACGTTCAAAATAAAAAAGTTTTGGCACTGAAAACTTACTTAAAAACATCATGCCCTTCATTATATCCTTATGCCCTTTTCTCTTTAATTCTGCCATACAGAATTAGCTTGGTAGCCAATATAGCCTGCATGTTTTCTCCCATAAGAATATCCAGTATGTAAACAACTGGTTTCTGAGGAGTTGTGAATGAATTTAACAATGTAATGAATGAAGCTACTACCTGCAGAGGGGTTGGCAAGATATTTAGACAACAAAACATCATCGCTTTTGTTCTGCACACCGGCGTGTCGTTTGATTTACAGCCAAAACTGCTAACAAATCCGCAGAGGTGTTTTTCTCAGTGTTAGCAAGAAAACCGAGGAGAGAAGCTAATCAGGTTTAAATTAGAGACACGTGTGCACCAAGCAGAGATGCTTTCACGTCAGCCTGGAAAAAATAGACTCAAAAACACTTTTCCTTCAAAATTAACGTCCAATAATACTTCACAAGTGTGTTGACATCGAAAGATATATGAGAAAACCTAACATATGCAGTTGTATCATTAAGATGAATAATTACAAAAACTAGCTTTTCCCATGAAGTAAATTTGGAATGGGAGTACCACCAGTCAGCTGCTTTCCGTGGTTGAATGAAACTAACTGCATTTAGTCAAAGTACTGTACAATTTTGAAATACTTTCCATTTTATACTAACTACTCCACTAAATTTCAGAGAGAAATGTACTTTGTACTCCACTACATAGTTACTTTTCAAATCAATTTTGTAGCCCACATCAGCCCCAACATTGTAAAAAGTTGTAGTTAGCGCTACACTGATAGCAATGAATTGTTGCTTACATGTATATGGTAATGAATCAGTGTTAATATTCCAAAAATATAAAAGAAATGTAATTCTGACTGGAGTCATTTTGTATAATTGGCACTTTTACTTTTGATACTTGCAGGTAATACTGCAAGTGTTTGCTTTTACTTAATACAGGGCTTTTACTTGTTGAGTAATGTTCTATTGTGGTATTTACTGTATCACTTTTGTGTAAAGAAATTTCAAAAGTTGTCCCACCACTGCCTGTTTGACACACTGTATGTGCTGCCAAAAATTCATAATGACTAAATGACTTTTCAAATGCCTCTTAAAGCACAGCATGAGCTCTAATTGGTGAATTTGACCATGAATTATCCATTATTTGTTTATTCACTGCACTGGCAAACATTAGCCTAAGGTCACTTACATATTTATTGTAAGAGTCAAGTAAATTCATACTTCCAGTTTAAACATTAGGTCATAATATATAGCCTATTAACCTTTCCTCTATGATAAAAGCTTACAGAACTTTGCTGGGTACCAGTCTGCTACTAAAATAATCTGGCTTGACATTTAACGAACTCTGTGTGAGTCAGATGTTGCAAAATTATGATAATCTTTGCTGATCAAAGGATCATTTCTGAGTCCAAAACATAAATTTACCTTTCATAATGTGATCGCTGAGGAAACTGAGGAAATAAATTAGACAGACCAATCCTACCACACCCACACATTTTCTGTTTTAGTGAAAACAAGACGACAAGCAGCTTTTCAGATTAAATTCTTATTATTGTCAGCAATAATATACTGTAGTCCCATCAGTTTCTACAGTATTTGTCAACCAGGAGTTGTCAATAACATATAGATTAGCCTACACTGAATATATTCCAACTTGACATACAGATATATTATTATGCTTTTTAAACAATATGAATCTATACAGTAGTTAATGGAGAGGAGGTGAGTAAAATATACATCTACAAAAAATATATTATTTAATCCCATTTGATAGAGAGACAGAGGTTAAATTGTTCAGGGCTCAAAAATGACAGTAAGAGGTCTATTTTATGGTCAAGTTTACAACACTGAGCATCTGTCATTGTTCCCTCATTATACTATGAAAACTAAAGGTTAAAAGCAGTCTGTTAAAACTCTGTAGTGTTCTCTATATTAGGATAAATCAAAGGAGTGTTGGTTTAAAAAAAAAAAAAAAATGCACTCAAAAGGCCAGGCATGCAGGTCTCAACAGTGTGCATTTTTGAGTTAAAAACCTGCTCTAATAATACAAACAGAACAGTTCTGATGATTTCTGAGAAGTCAGTGCAGTCTGGAGCAGGATCTGGTATAGGCTGTACATGAGGTCCCAAAAGAGTCCATCTTCTCACTTCCAAGCAACCCAAGTTTAAACCAGAGAAAGAGGGAAAATTTTTCCCCTAATCCTCCAGAGAGCCTGTAATCACTTTATAATACATACATACAGTACATACAGTATATACAAAGATAGATCAGTTGTGGGGCTAAGCCCATCGATGGGCAGAAAGCAGCAACAGCCCCATGGAAATAACAAATCAAATCTCTTTCTTGCTATAGTTCAATGTCTGACCAGCATCTCAGGTCCCCACCCACACTTGCTCCTTCTATGCCCAAATCCCATGATTTAATATTTAAAAATTTAATATTTTTTAAATCAAAAAAATAAAAGTACTCGAGGAATTAAAAATATCCAGACATAAAACAGACAGTTGAAGAAGACGTGATATCTTCCTTGTTCTAACTTTTCAATTGTTTTGTCCAAAACTCAATAGTTACATATCTGTATGTCTGATTTTTTTGACTGACATGAACATGTAGTTGCATATGCAGAATATATTAATACACAGAGGACCCCCCCGCACACACACACGCACGCACGCACGCACGCACACACACACACACACAAATTGTATACCTGATGATCCCACAGCAGACTGGCTACAAACGGGCTGCTGTGAAGACTGCTGTTATTAGCCCAGATTGTGTGTGGAGGGTGTCATAACATTTATAAAAGGGTTGAATTAACTGTACATGAAATAAGATTAAGTGAGCTTGTCGGTGTTATGACACTTAGTTGATGGTGCCTTTGTGCGGCCTTCCTACAGCACAGCCTGGGCTCTTTCTTTAGTCTTTTCCTCCTCTTGTCGCTTCATGGCCTGGATCACAGCGATTTCTTTAGCCTCCTTCTTCTGGTTTCTTGCTTCAAACTGTAACCTTTATCACACAAAGAATATCAGAAAAAGCATATAGTAAGCCCTAGGTCCGATGTAATACATATTCATTCTTAGCAGCGAGTCAACTATATCCCATTTATTTCAACTTAATAAAATATCGCTTTGCACATTGGATATAATACCTGTTTTTGATTATCCTCTGCACAATGGCGTCTGTGGTGAGGCTGTTCCCACTGTCAACAGTGCGCAGGATTCCTTTCCTCCTGGGCTCCTGGGTATGAAGAAAAGAATTATCTAAAAATGTGAAGCATTGTACATTGTTTCACATACTGTAGGTGTTTCTAAAGATTTCCGTATAATGTGTCAGTGTTTATAGTCTTACAGCATAAGGGTCAGATCCATCCTTTCCAGGGTATATTTCTGTTTTTCCATGGCAAACAAGATCCACCTGTGGATACAGAGCCATGTTAAAGTTTTATGCATTTTTGACTGTTGAGAACTTTATAACCAAGTGGTGAAAGTGAAATGGCTTGCCTATACTTACCTTAAAATGGTCCAGTAAATCTTTCGTGACTGCAAAGGGTGCACCAATCACCACTTCTGACACATACTGTGAAAAAAAGCATGCAAAAATGAATTTTATATGTGAAATATAGACAGTATATGTAGTACACTATGTTGATGGAGAAGGAGCAATAAGAAGAACGAACTCGACAAGCCAGGACGCTAAGCGTTCTCTCGTGGACATTCATGATGGGGTAGTTTTTCCCTTTGTAACGATTCACCTCCTGAAAAATATGAACAAAGTAGAAGTGTATGACAACACTGGACTCAGGCAGGCAGTAAAAGTCTCATGTGGAGGAAAAGAGGACACTCACCTGATCAAAGTGCAACCCCACTATAATGTATGGCTTTTCGGCAAGCTTATGCACTGCTTCCAGGAAGTCTACATGGCCAATGTCTGACAGGAGACCAGTCAAGGGTGAGCGCAACAGTTCACAGAATTATTCATGGACTTTATTCATGAAATTGCACATGTATTTGGATTATAAAGTATGTTTACAAAAATCCAACTTATTTTCTTGTGTGGTCATTAAAAAGATACGGAAGAGGTCAAAGGCTCCTGCCACATAGATGATGGTGTCTCCAGGTTGAGGCTCCTGGCCTGAAGCAAACTGGATGATCTTCTGTGAAGTCTGCAGGAACTGAGACACCCCCGTCCAGGGACTATGGCCCTTCTGACCATGCGACCCCCATAATCCAGAAACAGACATAATGAGTACAAATTGATAGTGCAGAAATAAGACCCATGCACTTTGGTATAGATACAGTATCACTGCAGAATTTTGAGCAGTTCAGGCTAGAATAAACACATGCGCTGCATCATCGCCACCTAGTGGTGTATGTGGTAATATCACCTTTGGTTAATCAAAGTTGTCCCACACATCCCCAGTGCATTTATTCAGCCCTTGCCAAATTCACAGCATTACGCTTCCAATCTTAAATGCTCAGCTGTGAACAGACCCTCTACTGCTTTCACGCTTTTTAAAACCCCAGCATGTTGACTCTGAGTTAGTTTCCACAAGCAGGAACAGAAGTGGTATTCACTGTTTACTGGCGAAGCCTGTTACTTGATTATAAAGTGGGTCCACAGTAAAGGCCTTTGTTTAGTAATGGTTAACATCTGGCCCACATAGCAAATTTGATGACTTGAATGACAAAACAGTTGAGGGAGAAGAAGCTAGAGAGCCAAGAATGTGGTTTTAAACATATACCTGCTAAGAGTCTGGTAGGAAGCTGAGGATTTGGTTTTGACTAAATGATCAAATATATTTGGTACCTACCTTTCCAAAGTTGTCTGTGTGCTGTTGATAGTCTGAACTATCCTAAAGAGAACAAAGGATTGAATTAGGCTTGTACTGTGAACTGAAATCATTGCGAGAGAATAATGCTGTACTCACAATGTTGCTGTGGTGTGCTTTGGTCATCAGCAGCATCCTGCCAACCAGATCTGTGGTTGACACTCCCTGGGTTCTCTTACACTCCCTGTAAGGATATGATTCATAGTGAAACATCTTATGAAAGACCCGCACACAATGACAGTTCCATCCAGACTGTTACTATCATCTTCTGTACATTTCAAAAGGAAAGCTCACCTGTACCGTCCTGACTTCTTCACCTCCTCGTATGTATCCTTACCGTCCACTGTTAGTGTTATATCATCTGAAACGACAGCATCCGCAAAACACTGCTTGCATAAACCAAGTAATCAATGTTATATCCATCAATAACAGACTGAAAATCAGTGATCTGGCTTCAAACTCTGAGCTGATCGGCATTGTTTATGACTATCAATCCATTTGTGTGTCTAAACAGAGACATCATGTGGTGATATTCTTTACCTCCGTGCACACAGAAGTCACAGTTGTACTTGTCAAGGGTCCCGAGGGTGGTGACGTAAGGCGCTCCTTCCACGACCTCATCCACCCATTTTATGGCCCGCACCATCTTGTATCTTTCTGCCTGAGTGAAGACTGGTGGACCCTTATGCTTTGCAATCTCACCTTAAAAACAAAACAAACAAAAAAACACTCAAACGATCCTGTTGTCACACATAGATAATAATGTAGACTGAGAACGGAGAGACAGAAATCTCCATCTGAATCACATACTGCAGTAGATGACGTTTTAGAAAGATGCAGCATTGCCATTCGTCACTGAGATACTTTATCATCGCTTCAGCAGAGGGCAAGGTTGCTGTTATCCATGCCGGCCCTGACTGTGAAGTCATTCTGGGTTATCACAATGTCAGAACGCCCCGGTGTGCTACATGAGGGTGAGGCACAATCGCTGAGTTGCTGCACCACTATCACAACAACCTCTTCTAAGTGTACAGGACTCAGCTGGTGCCTGGCTGGTAATGGTGGGACTGGAGAAAATATACAAAGGCTATAGGTGCCATACTTCCCCAGATTTAGCAAGTATAGGCAGGATAATTTGTGGTAAAGGCACACATTAGTAAGATCAGGACTGGGTGTGAAAAAAGTCAGAAAATTCCTGGTAAAGCAGCCAAGAGAGAGTTTCCATTGGAGATATACAGTGGGTGTACTAGGGACAATGATTATGCTATAAGGGTCATTGGCTCTGAGCCTTACTGTCTGTATGTACTCCAACGATGAGGTAATCTCCCATGGCCTTGGCCTGTCGCAGCTGATTGGAGTGTCCATAATGCACCATGTCATAGCTGGTATGGAAAAAAACGTAAGAAAGACAAGTTACATCAAAATGAAAACAAGGTGCACAACTCTTCTCCAGTACACCATGCTATAGTCCAGATGATAGCAAGATACAGCGGAACATTGGGTGGCATGGTGTAATTTAAAGTTAGAAATGGCAGCCACTCTTCAATACTCCTCAGAGTGTGTTCTTGAATGCACTTAAGTAATCTGTGACATAAAAAAAAA